CCTACTATAATCATTAAAAAAATCAAAAAAGGTAAGGTCAGTTTACGAGCCTTAAGGTTCACCCTCTCAGAGCTTATCCCAGCTTCTGTGGCACGAGTCTCCTAGGAGTGTTGCTACTTCCCGTAGCATTTACCCTGCTGGGGCACAACCCCATGTTCCGTATTTTTTGGCGCACCACTGCAGTGTTCTGGAAGATTCCGGTGGAGCATCGTTCTACTTTATCACCTATATGACAGCCTGTGGAAAGCTTTTGGGCTCCTTATTGGTGAATTGTGTTTTATAAAACTTTTCTTATTTTTATGCTCTGGTTATGACAAGATATAGTATCCATGTTTGAAATTTACTTTAAGGTCACTCCTCCTAATGACAAAGTGGGTTCTGGTGAGACTCAGCTTTTTGAACCTGAACTCTTCGTCCGGAGGAAAACTGGTGAGGGTCAAAATCCGGATCCAGAGTCTATCACCAACTGGGCTTTTAATGAACACGAATATGACGCTTCTGGTTCCGCTGGGGAGCAGGAAGAAATGGAACGTGAGTCTGAAATTAGTGTGCATCAGTTACTTTTCTGAGATTTGTAGGGTTCTAGTTTTACACAACGAACACCTTTCATTCATACTAAATACGTTAAAGACAGGAAACTATCACCTTTTTTCCGGACAAAGTCATCTTTGGATAGCGATACTGGAAAATATCGAGACAGCTTCTTGGAACTCCCACGCATCATTTTTCTAGTAAAACAGTGCAAACACTTTGTCGAACTACGGCATCATACGTATAAAACATGGTTAGTTATGCGTAACAATTACATGCTTATCTAGAAAGGACAAGTGTTGATGTATTCCTTTTTTAATAACATGCCATCTATTTTCTGTCACCTTTCACGATATAGAACCTAACAATTATGGTGACTGGGGCATTGATACCACTGAACAGTTTTATTCTGGTTCTGAATTTGGTCACTATTTGAAATCTGCGTGGCTTCCACATATTAAAACTGAAAAGGATGTTCAATGGAGCTCTGTTGCCCCCAGAGGTACCCAACAACACACTAAAAGCAACAGGGAATCTATAAGATCTGGAGAGCCTCAATATGTTGAGCCTGCCCGTTACATTGAGAGTGACCCTGGTGTCCATCTAGACACTCAACAAGGCACTCAACAAGACACTGAAGCCGACTTGGTATCTGGAGAGCCTCGATATCTTGAGCCTAGCCATTATATTGAGGGGGACTTTGGTGCCCATCTAGACACTGATCAAAACACTAAA